ACAAATAATGTTCCTGCTGCCAAACTCAAATACTCCATAAAGACACCCCCTGGAACTGACACACATCCCTACCCCATTTCCTTACCTGGGCTAACAAGTAGCTAAACTGCACCATGAATTAAATAAGGCTTTGTGAGTTAGCATAAAAACTAAGCTTTTTAAAAATCATTTTTGTTTACCCATAAATCGAGTCAGTTAAAAAAAAGCTCAATTCTGGGAAACCACGATTTTAAGAACACAGCAGTTTAAAGTTAAATACAGCCTTTAGCGGCCTCAGGGATTGGCTCAGAACCGGAAGCAAACCTATTACGAGAACCACAAACTGCAGTCACTTTTATTACGCATGTTAAAATCCACATCAATGACCGCTGCGCGCAAGGGCACCCACGGGACCACTGGGGTCGCTCGGGCGCCAGGTCCGGGTCCCCGCGGCCCGCACGCTCGGCCGCCGCGTCACCAGGGACTGAAGGATCCGCCAGAACCCGCAGGGCTGGGCTCCGGGGTCCCGGGATGCCAGAGCCCAGACGAGGAGTGTTGGGTACAGGAGCCCCGGTGAGGAGTCTCGGGACATGGAATCTCCAGACGAGGGGTCTGGGGGTACAGGAGCCCCGATGAGGAGTCTCGGGGAACGGAATCCCCAGACGAGGGATCTGGGGGTGCGGGAACCCAGACAGGGGGCTCGGGGTATGGGACCCTCAGAGAGGGGAGCCGTCACCGTGGGCGCAGGGACGGAGAGACCCTGACGACCCAGCCCCGCCGCCCGACTCACCAGCCTCTTAGTCGCCGCAGCGTTTCCAGAACCCACAGCCCACCGCAGCGCCACATGGCGGGTGACTAGCGCAAGAAGCCCGAACACGACATTTAACCCTACGCACGGCGCGGGGCGGAGAGCGCGGCCGGGCCTCCCATTGGTCAGCGCGAATAGTGGAGTCCTCTCCGATAGGCCGTCAAGGAAAAGGGCGGGCCTCACTGAGGAGGGCGGTGCGGGGTATGGGAGGGGCGGGGCCTCATGTGGAGAGGGGGCGGGGCCGGCGTGCCCAAAGGGGCGGGGCGCGGTGAGGGATAGGGTCGATTTGGGATGCAATGAGCAGGATGTGAACAGATGATGGGCAGGGGCGCCGTGGGGGCGGGGCATGCGCATATAGAGGGCGGGGCGTGTCAGGATGAGGCGGGGCGTGCAGGGGAGGGGGGCTGTGCAGGCGAAGGGGGCTGCGCAGTGAGGGGCGGTCTGGATCCGGTCCAGGTGAACCTTGTGGTCTCTTTGGCCTCGGGGTGGGCGTTGGTCCCCTCAGAGGGGTCTTCTGCACCTGCTCTCTGGTGCTCGCTACCCCATCTGTAGGGCTGGGGGAGATTAAAGGACGTCCAGCTGGGGCCCCGCCAGGTGCCTGAGCCTTCTGGCGCGGTGGCTTCGGTGATAAGTCCCGAGGGCTGCACTCGCAGGTCGGTCTCCAGGGCCATGATGTTAGGGACATTCCGATAGGTGCCCGAGCAGAATGTCCCCAGCAAACCGCAGGACAGCTCAGACCCCGCACGGTGGGTGTGGGCCAGTGCTGCTTCTAACCTCGTTTCTCTCTGCATTTCGGATCTAGGAAGACTGCGCCTGTGTGTTCTAAGATTTCCAAAGTACCCCGTCCCCGGGGCCCTTCAGCAAACGCAGGGAGAGGCCTGAGGAGGCCAGTGCGCGAGTGGAGTGGGCCCTGATGCTGTGGGCTGGAGGGGACATCGGGGATTAACCACACCTGAGAAGTGTTTGGTGGGACTTGGAGGAAGTCAGGGCCCAAGTCTGACAGTGTCGGCTTCGCTCCTTTCTTCAGTCTTCTTCTGTCTTTCCCCTTGGCCCACTAATGCACACACTCTATTCACCTCTACCTTCTCCCAGGCTCTGAAGAAAAAGTGCTAAGTAGACGGCTACAGTCGGTTTGAACACGTAAAGCTTTTGACAGCAGTGTAGAGTAATTCGAGTACTGTAACGAAAAGCCACAATACTCTACCCAAAACTTCGCAGTATAGTGCAGCCGATTCTGCAGTTAACCAAGTTCTTATTGATAGACCCAAATGAACCAAAGATGATAATAAGAAGTTACTGATACAGGGCGGGCCTGTGGCTCACTAGGGAGAGTGTGGTGCCGACAAAACCAAGGCCGTGGGTTCAGATCCCATATAGGGATGGCCAGTTAGCTCACTGGGTGAGCATGGTGCTGACAACACCAAGTCAAGGGTTAAGATCTCCTTACCGGTCATCTTATTTAAAAAAAAAAAAAAAAGTTACTGATACAAACGTACTCTATGCACATACCTTTCTTCTAGTGAGAACTCGGGTGATAACTGTTGAGTCATCACAACACCTCTGTGATCTTGGGAAAGACAGTTGGGTATTATTAACTCTTGAGAGTATGCAGGAAATTGAGGCACTGGGAGGTTATATTACTTGTGTCTCTTTGAAGAAAAGATGATATGTAAGTCCAGTAATTACCACTTACTTGTATGTTCCCATAGAATACAACCTCAGTGATGGATATCCTAGACACACACACACAATAATAATTTATGAATAATTATTTTGAGCGGCATTCAACCTAATTTTAACATTTATATGTACAAGGGGGTCTTCAAAAAGATCATGGAAAGATTCATCTTATCTTTTAATTTCTCCACAAGCTTTTGAAGTACCCTCATGATCTCAATTTATATTAACACAAATAATTGCAATGTAGAAATGAAAAAATAGAAATTGTGTATGGAATTTACCATGTTACAAAAAGACATTCTGTGCTATAGTAAAACTCATTTAGTAAGATAAGCAAATGAGTTTTTAAATCAGATTGTGACTGTGGCTTACAAGGGCAATTGAGTGAGTACAGGGGTGTTAGGGGCTTAATTGTCTCTCTAATACGATATGTTGGGGTCCTAACCCCTAATATCTCACAATGTGACCTTATTTGGACATAGGGTCTTTACAGAGGTAATCAAGCTAAAATGAGGTCATTAGGAGTGGTCCTAATCTAATAAGACTGGGGTCCTACAAAAAGGGGAAATTTGGACAGAGACAGACACACACAGAGAGAACAACCATGTGAAGATAAAGGCAGAGATCAGGGTAATGCTCTATGAGCCAAGAAATACCAAGGATTGCCAGCAACCACCAGAAGCCAAGGAGAGGCGTGGACCAGATTCCACCTCAGAAGCAAGCATCCTGCTGACACCTTGATCTCAGACTTCCAGCCTCCTGTACTGTGAGACAAATAAGTTTCTCTTGTTCTAAGCCACTCAGTTTGTGATGCTTTGTTACAGCAGCTCTAGCAAAATAATACAGAAAAGACAAGGTTTGTTTACCTGTGGAAGAAAAATAGGAAGTGACTTAGCCAAATATGTTGTTTCCCAGGATTGCATGTCTTTGGCATAATGCATGCTTTCGGAAATCCTTTATTTCTGAATGAACCAATGGTGGTGATTGTTGAAAATTAAAAATAAGAGAGTAGCTTAGTGCCTCCAAATTTAGGATTATCAGAATGTATGACTAAGGAGGAAGAGCCCCATCCTTCTCAGAAAACCAAGGCTCCGATCCTGGCATTTATTCATTCATTCTTTTTTTTCCCACTCAACCAATGACTATTGTGTGTCACCTATCTGCTAGCCACTGAACTTTGCTACTGATGAGATTCAATAAAACATTTTGTATTTCTGTTGGACTTGTAAAAATAGGCTAACCTGTAAAAAGAGAGGAGGCCAGATTTTCTTCAAGTCTAAAATCTTAGTTTTATTGTCTCCAGTTTTTCTTGGGACATTGATCACAGCATTGACTTTAGCCTTTAGTTTATTTTCTGTCTGTTTAAAATTACCCATTAAGAAATTCAAATTAATTTGGCTGATTTTGATTTTATTTCTCCTTCTATTTATGTTCCGTGATGTCCACCTTTGATAGAGATCAGCTCTCCCCCTGAATTTAGTTCAATTTTGAGTGTTTCAAGTAGTTGTTTTAGAAAACCTATGAAGTTGTCGAGATCCCTCTTGGCTAATGCCCTTAATATTTTTTTAAACTTTACAAAATTTATATATACATATATGAAAAAAGGCTAGGAGTGTCGAGATCCCTCTTGGCTAATGCCCTTAATATTTTTTTAAACTTTACAAAATTTATATATGAAAAAAGGCTAGGATGCCCTTAATATTTTTTTAAACTTTACAAAATTTATATATGAAAAAAGGCTAGGATTACTCATAATTAAAGAAAAGGTACAGTAACAATGGGATATTTATTATTTTATCACATGTAACAGTTTGATAAAACTTAAGGCCAGTGAGGTTTGTGAACTTAAGGGGAGCAGGTATTTTCATATATATACATTGCCTTTTGGAAGTATCTTCAGCATTATTTATACAAATTTTAAATGCATGCACTTTTTCACTAGAAATTCTACTTTATGAACTTTGTTCTACAGCTATGTTCTCACAAGGGTACAATGATGTATAAATAAAAATGTTCCCTGCAGCATTTTTTGACTATAACTCATGTAAGACAATATGAAAGTTTATCAACAGGAGTTTTCTTAAGATATACCACATATTTGTATAATTAAATACTATGCAGATACTAAAAATAGTGACATATGAGGGTACTTCAAAAAGTTCATGGAAAGGATTAGTACTTTAATTCTACAAACTTTTTGAAGTACCCTTGTATATCATTTATATATATATATACATACTTACACAACAAATTAGTAAGCAAAAAAAAAAAAAATCAAAGAAAAGAATTGGCAGCAGCTGTATGCTAGATGCAAGCTAAAGCTCTCACTTGAGCTGGGAAAAAATACTCCCTTTTGAATGGAAAGAGTCCAAAGAACATTTTAATGGTAAACCTGGCATCACACTTTAATGAATGACATTTACAAAAACCTAAATGAATGCCAAAATGGTCTATGTTCCCAGATGGGAAACTCAGTTTGATAAAGTTGTCAGTTTTCTCCAAAAAAGCAATGCAAATTCCAGTAAAAATCTCAATATAGTAGTAGCACAAAGTGATCCTAAAATACATATAAAGCAGGAAAGATTCAAGAACAGGCAAGTCAATTTTGAAGAGCAGCAATGTGGAAGATATATTTTATCAGCTATTAAGACAAGTCTTCTTGTTAAAGACTTATTCTTAAAGACATATCAAGTTTTATAAAGCTATAATAAATGAGACACTGTCGTACTGGCACAGAGCAAGAGGCAGAGAGGGTAAAGAAAGAATAGAGAAAGCCAGAGGTAAACACACTCCTGCATGGCAGAGACACACTTGTATGTAGAGATGTGACATATGACAGAATCAGATCCCTGGAGAACAGATTCAATTGATGTTGTAACATATATGTGAAAAAATTGAATTGCTGCCTCAAATCACACTTCACCCACCCCAAGGCCATGGCAATACTATCTTGTATTTCCAAGGGTTTGAAAGTTTTACTTTTCTCACTCACACTTTTAACACACATGGTTTGAACTTTAGTTCTGCTTCCTGTAATAGAAAAAGTCCCCAAGATTTAAAATGCCCTCAGAATAAGTTGTCAGATTGGGCCTCCAACTCAGAACACAATGTCAGGGATGGAGTTCAGGCAGAGATAGTACAGGCAATGACCTCTGCTCGCCCATTATCCTTAACATGTGTTGCTAATGCTTGAAACACTTCAGCAGGAGACAAAACCTTGCTTTCCAAATTGAGCAAAATGCTTAAAATGCAGACACCCATTTACCGAAATTCACATTAAAAGTGAATGATGTTCTAAGAAAAGTTACTGGCAGGGAAAAGAGACAGCGAGTACCTGAGGACATGGGAAAGAGCATCACCAT